CTTTTGAATAAATGGAGATATTATTAAAAATACGATTTGGGCATCTGTTAACCGGCCAGAACAAGACACGAAAAGCATTAGACGATCAAATTTATTATTCCAAGGCTCCTTGATTAAAAATTAGTGTTTTTAACACAGCCATGGCACTCTAGACTGCAATTTAAAATAAAAAAAATATAGCCAAAATGTCTAAAGTTGACATATCGTCGGTGAAACAAACTGCTAACTCCATTATTACTAATTTTAGAGACGAGCAAAAAAACGTCCAAAAACAATATGTGCACATGTAGCAAGAAGTATATTCATGCGTTAATATGATAGATAGATAACAATAATATTCGTTGGGAACAGTAAAACTCAATATTTCGTTAAAAATTTAACTTAAAAATAATGTATATTATACGTATTATTTTTTAATTAACGTAAAAATGAAGTTAGCACGTTTTACTGACAATATGATATGTCATTCTATTCAGAGTGTCATTTTCTATGGAATAAAGTAAAAATATACCGAAGGTGCCATTTAAAAATCAAAAGTTGTAGTCATTTCCGGTGAAACAGGAAATGACCAAACACAATTGAATACATCAATCAATTTTAATTTATGTCATATACTAACCTACCAAATCTCGTTTTTTTTTATCTGAAAAAATAAAAAAGTTATAGGGGGTGAGACACACCCGGTATATTCAAAGTCACTTCCGAATTTCTGACAGTGTCATTATTGGCATTTATTATCTGTCTTGGCACTTAATATGGATTTAGAAAAAAAATCTCGACGAAATAAATATGAATTATGGAACATTTTGGAACCAAGCTATGAATCAGACACTAACTACAAGCAACTACAAGTATTAAATGTTCGTATAGACATAAAAAATATGTTAAAAATAAAACTATTCTGAGGCGATAATAAAGTTAAAGTAGAATCTACGGTGAATATAGAAACAGAAATTGAAAATAAATAATATTTATAATAAAATCATAGAAAACTTTGATATATTAAAAAACTGAAAAATTTAACTAAGATATCTGTTCATGAACAAGTATCTGATCAAATGAGTATGAATTTTAACTACTTATTACTAAAACTTTGGTAATTTCAGATTATCTAACATCAAAATAAGACAAGCAGACTAAACTTTTTATTTTTAAGCAATTTGAATTTGTTTATTAAGTGTAGACAGGTAATTGCAATAGGCAATATACAAAATTACACTTTGAACTTAATTTTGATTTGGTATCAAAATCTGTTTAATGCAAAAACAAATGTCCCAATGTATTAAAACAAGTTGTTAACATTTCTGTAAATTTAAATCATTGTAATTATATAATTTAAGTAAAGTGGTTATAAGTTTTAAAATATTATTTATAATAATCCAAAAATTTGAATGGCTAGCTACATTTGTCGGATCTTTGCCAAATACAACAATTTATTGTCATTTAATGTGCCAAAGACAACAAATAATTCTCATTTAATGACTGAAATTGTGCATTACTTACTCTTTAAATGAGACATCAAATACACTTTTAGGACTATTCCGATTTAAATGAGATATGAATTAGAGTAAATTTTCAGCAAAAGTCAGAATGAACCAAACATTTATAAAATTATAAAAATATACGGAATACGGTATGTCCACATTAATGGACCCTAAAATATTAGTCCCATAACTTGGTAGTCCAAAAATGTATATAAATTGTCTCAGTGAGTACTGAAAAATGGGTTATAGAATAGCAACGACCAGCATGTAGAACAATAAACAAAGGCTGCAAGGCAATGACTCAAAAGATAAAACAAAATTATATGTCAAATTAAACAAAAGTAAAACTAAAACGTTTACGCCAAAAGAACAGATATATAGTAAAGAACAGATAGTAATATTGAAAAAAAACTTGTGTCTTTTAAGGGGATGAAATGAGGGGTAAATCTTATATACAAAAAAATTAATCTGTCCTAGGAGTATAAAATTTTGCCAGAGGTTAAATAGAGTAACTGAACAGTTGGAAGCAAATTTCGGAAATTCATCTCCTAAGTGAGTGAAACTGGGGTGGAATTTTGTGTAACCTTTTTTACAATTTGTCCTACGATTGTGAAATTTTATACAGAGATTCCTTAAGTGACGAAAGTGAGTATTCAGAAACGAATGTTGAACATTCATCCTATTAGAGGGTGATAATTTGTGCAAAGATTTGTTAATTTTTTTTTAAATATAAATTCGGCGTTTCTTATGTTACGTAAATGAACACTCAGAGACAATTTTTGGAAATTCGCCTTATAAGGGGATGAAATGACGGGTGAATATTCTGAAAAAATCTGTCCTACGAGTATCAAGAAAAAATCTTACATTAGGGAATTGTAAGACTTTCTTAAGAATCAAATGGTTCCATCATGTCTCAAACGTATCAATCCTTGAAAAAGCTAACTGCAACAGTATTGAAGTCATTATTACAAAATTCCGCTTAAGATGGGCTGGTCACGTATGCAGAATGCAAGAAAACCGCATACAAAATCTCTGCTTTACGGTGAGCTTGTAGACGGTAAAGACGGTCCTACACGATGCGTCCAACGTTCGAACGAACGTTCGAACCAACATTTGACACAGTTTTCGACAATATTACAATTGGCGAATGTGTCTCCTACACGATGCTTCGAACGTTCGTTCCAACGTTGGACGCAAACCTGGCGCTACATTTGTGACATTAACTCAGTGTCGTACGTACTCTTGGCTTGAGCAGATATGGATAATATATTAAGTGCTGGGATTGCCGCTGGTATGATAGTTTTAAGTTGCGCTTAACTGTTGCAACAGAAGCAAAAGAAAAAGAAGACGTACCGGGATTTTATTTCTTGTTATTTTTATGAATCTGTCTATAGCATCATAAGCAAACCAAGATGGTTGTATATATCTGTACTCCCAGATCCGATTGTATAAGAATCTATAACTTGTCTTCTCAACGTTCTATACGTTGCCATTACAGATTCTTTTTTTTTTCTTCAATTCTGCTACTGACAAGCCTATACTCATTTCCTGAGAAATTTCACGCCAAGAATCATTTAAGGCATTCCGGTTTTTATGCTCGGAATGCCTGGGATTTCATATAATAGGATATTTCTCGTAAATCGAAATAAATTCCATTATCATTTTATTATTCCACTCATGCCGTGCGTCCAACGTTTGAAGGTGTTCGCCACATCGTGTAGGACCGTCTTAAGAGGAGACCGGGCGGACAACTCAAAAGGTACAAGGATATTTTCCACAAAAACTTGAAGGGGATTAACATGGAGAATGAGTGGGAAGAAGCAGAATTGTAAACTCAGTTAACAGAGGCAACCAAAAAGCAAAGAGGCAACAAAATAAAGCAATGAGATTTTTGTCCGGAGTGCGGTAGACAGATAACATCACGTATCGGGCTTTTCAGTCATAGAAAAGCTCATGAAAGAAAACGCTTTGCGTGACCATCTTCTGATGCGTGTCAAATAGTTGTCAGCGAGTAATGGCAGTAGTAGTAGTAGTAGTAGTAGTAGTAAGACTTCCTGAAGTTTTACTTTATAGGTAAAATCAACACCAAATTCAATGGGGTAGTCGTCGAAACGACTGGTTTTATTCAGAGCAACCAGACTATTTTCAGCCAATCAAGCGTTGAGTTAATGCTTGGAAATGTCTTCTAAAGAATGCATGAATCTTTGTAGCACATCTGAAGGAAAACTGAATTTTTCATGTCTATATAATTACAATTCGTGTATAAATTATGTAGTTTAGGATATTTATACATTTTTTTATTTTTTTAGGATATTCAGTTATTAAGGATTGAAAACTAAACTTAGTAACGGTTAATCCAGAACTCTAACAATAATTAAAAATTAAATGATACCAGCAATTATTTAATAAAATATAATTAGACTAGCGACTTCGTTCGCGTCGAATTAATAATTTGTAATGGTGATGATAAAGCAAAGCAAGAATTTCCATTAACATACAAACTGGATAAAATTTTCTCACATTTATGTCAGCATGTGAAAAAACAATATGGCGATATTATTATATAACTTGGTAATATTTGAGGGGTAGTTTCATCACGTTGGAATTTGACTTTCGAAAAATCCGTTTGCCCAAAATAATCATTTTATGTCAAGCAGTTTAAGCAGAATCGTGGTTAAGAAATTACTCAACTTTTTGGAACACTCTGTATGATTTTTAAAAAAATTCAAAATATGTAAAAAAAAACAAATAAATTATGCTTGTCCAAGCGTTTTCCCGAAAGACTAACCGTTTTTTAAATAACAAATATTGTAATATTTGAGGGGCGTTTTCACCCTCTTGGAATTTGAGATTCGAGAAACCCCTTCTTATCGAACTTCTACACCTCACAGTCAATCCGTTTACCAAAAATCAGCTTTTTACGTCAAGCGCTTTAAGTAGGATCGTGATTAATCAATGATCAGATTTTTCGAAACGCCCTGTATACATTTTTAAAAAATCTTAAAATATGTAAAAAAAACAAAATAAAATATACGTGTTTAAGCGTTTTTTCGGAAACTTGACCGTTTTTTAAATAAAAAATATTGTAATATTTGAGGGGTGGTTTCACCCTCTTGGAACTTCGAAAAATTCCCACTTATCGAACCTCTACACCCTAGAATCACCCTGTATGCCAAAATTGAGCTTCTTACATTGAGTGGTTTGAGCAGGATCGTGATTAATCAGTATGTCAGTCACTTAAGGATTTTATATATTAGTATAGATTTGTTTACAAAACTGTTTTGTTTACAAAAAAAAAAGATAAATCAACAAAATATTGAAAGAGAAACGACTTATACAGATTAATTTAAAAGCTGTATATGCATAAACACTTGTAACACTAAGTAAACTTTACACTTAGTAGTAAAGTTTATTAGCATTAAAGACTAAGAAGTAAGTTTAAAGACTTTTCATCACCGAGTACTTTATCTAGAAACAGTAATAAATAATGCAAGAATATAGCTTAATTTTACTCACTGGATACTTTGGATCCTCGTCTGAAACTTTCGTACAAAGTCCTCGCGTCTGGATGTAAATAACTGACGAATTTCCCTTCTTTGGCGTCCTTGTAAAACCTGGAAACTCTTATCACATCTGGACCCTGAAACAAAGAGGTACATTTTTAATTCGTTTCAATTTCTCCAGCGTTTCGTCAAATTGCTTTTAAAATATAAAAACGACGCAGCCTGGCCTTTTCATAAATTTACAGTACCTATTTATATTGTTGCACGTTCCAAGCTTTCAGGACTTCAACAGTTATTCAGTTATTATACAAGTTAATTTAAACTGCGTTATTAGCAATTTAAGTAAATTAACGTTACTGTAGCATTAAAAATTAATTTATTACGTTCTAATATTTTTTTATTAGATATACAGGGTGTCAAAAGTAGTGTTATAAATACATCCGTGGGCGACACCAAAAAATAAATCACTTAAATTAACTAAATATATATATGGTTTCTTGCAGAAGCTTTTATCCATTACCAAAAAAAGATACAGGGTCAAGATTAAATGATCAAAGAATGTTTAGAGGGAGTTAATAACTTGACTTACAGATCTATGGTGCGTATCGGATGTTTGAGTTAATAAATAGTTATAACTTATCATATCTCAGGGCTTTTACAATTATATATTTTTATGAGAATTTCCAATAACTACCAGCTCTCCAACATTTATTCACAACGTAAAATAAAACAACGAATTATTGAGTCTACCCCACGTCTACCCTACATCATAGTTTTACATTTTTTAAATAAAATTAGAACGACACTGATAAACCGGAATTTAAGTCGGCCATATTTGAGGCCCATCGCGGTGTACCTAAGATTTTTGATATGCTCCTTCCTTAGTCTTCTTATTCAAAGTCCTAGAACCGTCCGCGTTATAACCTGAACATCTAACTTGATCTAATTGAGAATCCAAAAAAGGTCCAAAAACAGTTCTCATCGAACCCGAACACAAATTTTCTTCTGCGCATGCGTATCACCGTTCTAGGACGGTTCGAGAAAAAACCCGAACAAAGCTTTAATTGTGTTTTTTAGACATTGTGAATGATCGTAAACTAAAAAGTATAAAGTGTAATTGAAACGACTAATTTATTCCACTGATTGGGAGGTTCTGAATGAAGCTTTAGAGTAAAAGGTACTTACTAAGAAATCTTTTTTATCCTATTGGAAAAAATTTTGCAAAAATAAAAATATATTTAACAAAATCCAAAACCCATTTTTGGATGTCATCTGTCTGAATTATATTTCCTGTCGCCGAACACACGATACATGAATATATTTTTGAGTACCATAAAAATATTTTTATGTATTTTTAACAGCATCAAACGTATCAATGAAAGTAATAAAAGTGCACTTGATGTAGTTTTATTATATTAATGTGAATAGCATTTTTGGCTCAGAATTATTTCATAAATGATGAAATTGTTTTTGATTTGAGACATGATTAATTTGCATATTTACTACTCAAATAGCTGACACATGAAAAATAAGTAAGCTTAATATGTTGACAACATTCACCTTATAGTATATTACTTATTTATTAAAAAATACAGGGTGGCGCATCTCATTCGCCTCGGTTGATTTGGAAACGGAAATATGATATTATAACAGGGTGAGTTTTCTACGATGTTCTCTATGGGCATCTCGGAAACTACTGGAGATAGAGGGTCGGTTAAATGGGGAAAGAATTGCAGTTTTGTGAGATCATAAATATGCGCCTTTCAAATTTTTGAAAAAGTTCATGGCTTACTAGATATTTCGAAAAAAACAAATTTTGGCTATTTTAAAAATTGTCCCTAATTCCATTATAATCTATTTTAGACTAATAATACTAATAATACTTTACGACTAATTATAGCATATATCGCTGAAAAGCTTAAAAAATGGCGCTTTTTATGAAGTCATGGCCAACTATGGCTTCCATTTAAAAAAACATATGTTTGTGTCATATGTCAAAAACGACAGGCATTAGAAAAAATCGGAGAGCACAATCTCATTAGGGATGTGATTACCTACAACTTTTATCTGAAAACTTTTTGTCTAAAATAGATTATAATGGAATTATGGACAATTTTTAAAACAGCCAAAATTTGTTTTTTTCGAAATATCTAGTAAGCCATGAACTTTTTCGAAAATCTGAAAGGCGCATATTTCTGACCCCACAAAACGGCAATTCTTTGCCAATTTAACTGACTCTCTATCTCCAGTAGTTTCCGAGATACCCATAGAGAACATCCTAGGAAACTCACCCTGTATATTATGAAAGATGAAAAAAATATGAAAACGGAAAGATGTAGAAATCAAATATTTTAAAGGTATATGTGGGGAAGCAATGTGGCACAATTTAAAACTATTTTGAAATATATCGGGTGTTTCAGAACTAAGATCCATACCAAAGTTATATTTTTTCTTGTGGAATACCTGGTATTTTATTTCATTTTTGGATTCATGGGCCCAAAGAAAGGTATTTATTATAAGGGTTAAATATGTTTAAAATCTTTGGTTTTAAGATATTTAAAAATATTTGAATATGCATGCTAGAATAGAATAGATTATCAACACCCTGTACGTTACTTTTCATCACACTATTAATTCTTGTGCTGAGTTTAAAAGTAGAAAAATAAATTTGACTGATAAATTTTATTGCTTCCTTAAATTTATACAGAGGTACCAAAAATTGCTGTTTGTGATCTATTTTAAAAATTTATTTTACAAAAAAACTTTGTTACTTCAAATTCAACACCCTCTATTTAAAAAAAAATCGAGGCAGATTTAAATACTCTTTCAAATTATATTATCGTTTCCTATACCGATCTTGCTCAGATTTTGAATAAAAAGCGATTTTTCAATAGAATGGCAATCAAGATGGGTGGTGTCGCCATGGCAATTTTCTAGTGACAGTTATAGTAATATTTACTACTATCATAATAAAGTAGATACAAAAAATCCGTCATAAATATATTTCACTATGTTTAATGTTTTAGTGACAAAATAAAATTTAATAAGATCATAAGACATTTTGTATTCAATTGCTGTGTTTAGATTAAAATTTGACTAATTCCAAATTATTCGGTGAAATGCTCTAAATAAAATAATTTTAAAAGTCGTCGAACCTTCGGAGTAACACGTCGATACATTTTTAATAAATTTCAACATGATCAAGTGGACGTTCAATTAAACGAAGCTTTTAAAATACGTTTCGTACTTTGGACATTCTCCAAAATCGCGAAGAAAAATTGGATCTATTGAGATTCCACGTCTGCTCGATAATGAATATTGATTGGCTCATGTTATTCATTAAGTAGAAAGATTGAGTATTGATTACCGATGTTAGCCATTAAGCTGAAATATATTTTATTGAAATCACTTTGAAATTAACTTATAAACCGCTTTGAAATTTGACTAACTGTTATGATACTAATTAAATAATTGACGACAGACTTGTTGTAAAACTACATCTAATGGAAAAAGCTAAAGATGTAGTTTAAGTTTATTTATTTTTAAAATATGAAAGATAAAAATCTCTGTATTAAAACATTTGATAATTACTCCGAACCAATGGGCACTTGTATCCTACAGGCACTGTATCCTACAGGCAGAAATCTACGCTATCGAGAGATGCGTACAACTTATCTTAGATAGGAACTATCGGAAGCAAAGAAAACAAAGTCCTCCTACACTGGGTGCCTCCTGACCAAGGGATAGAAGGCAATGAAAAAGCAAATAATCTAGCTAGGAAAGGAGCGAACACTCCACTAACTGGACCAGAACCGTTCTGCTTTCCAAGTGGTAACCAACTCAAGGCGGAACTCAAGAACTTGGAAGATTCCATCCACAACCTGGAATGGAAATCTTGCAATGGTCTAAGACACTCGAAGAAGTTTCTGAGGGCTTATGATCAAGAAAAATCACAGATCTTCCTGGGTCTGAGTAAGAACAATCTTCGGATTGTCACGGGGTTTTTAACAGGACACTGTCCCCTCAATGAACATCTCAGTAGATTGAAACTAAGAAGAAACGGCGAATGCAGATTCTGTGGGGAAGATGGCGAAACACTCATCACTGAGTGCGCCTAGACGACAACCATTCGTGCCATGAATTTTGGTACGACTGATATTGGAGATGGAGAACTACCCTCTATAAAACCGTCCCAGATACTGGCTTTTGTCAAAGCCCTGGGACTGTATGATGAGTTATGATTCAAGAAAGGGGGACACAATGGATCTGTAAGGTCGAAGTGATTAACCCCCCTCCCACTCATTCTAAATTCTAAAAAAAAATTCTAAAACATTTGATAGAATGTCAAGAACGAAGTTTGATGTTTACTATAGGATTTTCACCACACTAATACTAACTTTTATATTCAATTGGTCTTTATTGCAATTTAATCTAAATCATTCTTTATTTATTATTGTTGGGCAGATAAAAATAAGTAAAAGATAAAATAGACGAACAAAGTTGGGATTACATCAAATCCGAATGAAATACTTATGCTGAAAATTGTGAATTGGTGTGCAAAAAGTTCTACCATAAAGGGAAAACTTAGATAGGCAATTCTTATAAGCAATAAATTTTAATAAATCAAGCTATATTACAATTGTTTAGGAGACGCATTTATAAGGAAACCAAATGTATCCCAGGAAATTATGCCAAGAATAATAGCCGAAAATAGATGTGTTTCAAACCTTTGAAACTTCTAGAATCTAGCTTTAGAAGTTTCAAACACCAAATCTAGAAAAGAATCTACCAAAAAAACAAAAAAAAATTGGAGGAAAAGGAAAGACAACATCTGTAGATCGTAAGAACAAACGAAGAAATAAAGCAACTATATCGTGCACTGAGTATAATGGGAGTAGTAAGAGCACAAATATTGAGATGGTTAAAACATATTGAAAGAATGGCTGAAACAAGAGTTCCTAGAATGATAATTAGACGTAAAATAAGTGGAAAGAGAAGGAGGGGTAGATGGACAACCAGATGGAAAAGGGATGTTGAGGAGGAGTTGAGAAGGATAACAGTTAATGGGTGGAGAATTAAGGCGACAGATAGAAATAAATAAAAAAATACAGGGTGTCCCAGAAATAAGTGCTAGTAT